GCCAACAACGCATTCTTTCCAGTCCCAAATAATAAGGTTTAATGTTTATGAATATTTAAGAAATAAGCTTAATTGCAAAAAAAAATGAGAAATAGAAGATACGTGTGTTTGATATCAATCCAACCAAATGAACTTGTATGTATATTAGAAGACCATCGCTGTTGTGCTTGATCATGAATACCGGGCACTAGTCCGAAACACTTTATTGTTTGTACTTCTTGACGCTTAAACTTTTACATGGAACTAACTTGTTTTATTCTATGTACGAAATATGACTTGAATAATAACTGAAAATAATTGAGATGGCAATGTGATTATATTCCGTTATTGTCTGGCAGAGAACAAAAAGCCTTCCGGATTATTAGGCCTACGTCTTGTCTTAGAAAACGACACGTGAAAGGAGATTGCTCAAAAAAAATGATCATATCAGAAAATTAGTCTGTGTAAAACTCTGCTCAGAAAAAATAAATTATACGTTATATATATATATATATATATATATATATATATATATATATATATATATATAAAGAATAGAAAGAGAGAAATAACAGCTGTACATGTATAGAAGCCAGTTTTGCAATTAAGATGTGAAATTGTGATAATTTCGAAAGGAAAGAGTGCTTTATATGAATGGTAATATTTTTCTGGTTATGTATTTTATTCCATTACCATTCGAAACATTGAAGATGCTTCATCATCATGATAGCAAAATAAACACTCTGACCCTTTCAAGACCAAACTTATCTGGCCTGCTTTAAGGGATATTTGGTCCCAATTCTGTGGCAGCATATTCCATGTTGTTTATATTTTTTAAGGCTTGGAGTAAAGGATAGCGGCTCAGATTAATGAATCAAGGAGTTGAGTTCGAATTGCACTCAAATCCATTACCATTCACTTACGTGCTAATACCCTTGGGAAAGGTATGAATCCTCTCCTTCTCCACCAGCTATGGGTAAATAGCAGAACAGACCTGGTCCTATAACCTTGGATGGCCCAGTCTATGCAGAAAGATACATGCATATATCACGCATGGAACATAACTGACTAACTGATTTCGGTGTCACTTTTTCCGTATATTTTTTTTAAGCATTCAACCCCAAGCAAGGCGGGAAGCCACTAGCACGCAAAGGGTCTCTGAGTAGGAGCGAGAACAAAGAGAAGTGATAGAGGAAAGGATGAAGAGACAGTTAGGGGATAGATCAGGGCATCGACGATTGTCGATTGACGTTACATTTGAATAGTTGGAGATTATAGTTATCAGGAAAACAAGAAATGGGGAGGAAGTTCCACAGAGGAGAAGTGCGAGACATGAAGCTATTGGAGAAGAAGAGACGGCTACATTTAAGATTTTCGACAGTGAAAGGGTGAGAGCGAGATGCCAGCCTAGTTGAGCGCTTAAATTCATTCCCAGAGAACCATCGAAAGCAGCCCATCGGAGCAGTTACCATGAAATTATTTGTAAAAAAGACAGGGGGCAAAGGCACATCTGTGAGAGAGTGGCTGCAGACGAGATGCCAGATCAGCGCCAATTACTGTTAAAATACTCCTCACATATTGCAATTTTTTACGAAGTTTAACCTTACCTGGTACACAACAGTAAAATTGGCATTGTTTCTAAGGTGATATTCCCGTTTCTTAATACTTCGAACATAAGACATACTTTAGCTGGGTTACGTAAAAAACAAACATTGTAAATAAATTCAGTACAATTAAAAGAGCCTACTCGAAAGATATAACGAATTAGCTACTTTTCACTATTTCGATATTTTTCTCCTTTAAGCTAATCCGAATATACATAGATAGAAAATGCAGAAGACAGGAATCAAAATGCCATTGTCAATTGATTTCTATCTTCAATATGTGCTCTATTTTATGGCCTTGAGTCTTACTAATTTTTAAAATTTCTACAGAAAGTAATCAATGTTCGTGATAAGTGTAATCGAAGGCCATTTAAAAGTTTGTCAAAACAACCACTTGCCTTAAATTTGAATAAATATGTTGGGTATCTCTATCTATAAAAGGCAGGATGTGTGTGTGTGTGTGTGTGTGTGTGTGTGTGTGTGTGTGTGTGTGTGTGTGTGTGTGTGTGTGTGTGTGTAACGAATGCACGGCCAGAATTTTCGACGGATTTGCACCAAAATTTATATGCACATGATCCATGTTAGCGGCAAGGCCAAGACCGACGTTGCATTTACCAACTCCCATCGATAGTGGAAATAATCGATTTTTCATGCTTCTACGGCAGTTTCATGTAGTTTGCGGCCATTTTGTACTGGCCAGAGTGAGAGTCTATAGCTGGCTGCCACGAATAGGCAGGAAGATTCTATTGGCCAGCGTGAGAGCCAACAGCTGACTGACACGAATGTTAACTAGCACGCTAGCATGCAAAAATCTGCATGGCACTTTACTCCAATTGGCTCATTCGCTTGCTTAAACTCAACATTGATTCTGATTCCGCAGAACTGGGTTGGGTGTGAAAAAAGTATTTGTTAACATTCTTTTTCATTCGGTTTTCCAGTTACGAGTCCTTTTTTAAAGCTGATCGTTTTGTGTTGATTTTTGTTTTGGTTCTTTTTTTCGTAACATATTTAATGTTTAGTATAGAGCTTAGAAAAAAATCGCAGTGTGAGATAGGCAAGAAGTAAGGCATGTAGCAACATCAGCACGGCAAAGGGAAGGGCAAAAATATTCTAAGTCAAGTGATAGCGATTGCTGTATGAGTCGTTCGATTTTTGAATCAAGCACGGGCAACGCCGGGCCATGCTGCTAATTTTACTAATAAAAGAGAAGTTCACTAATTTCATTATTTACATTTTCGGACTATTGTCCTCATCTTTGTTGCCATATTTATCACAACGTTTGGCCAATGTACCATCCGGCCTTTTTCAGGTGGTTGGAATGTCGAACTGAACCCTTTATTTCGCTTGCTGGGGTAGACTGATCTAGTTCCACGTGCCATGTCTAATGGATGTCAGTTATGACTTATCTCCTGTTAAGTTCTCCAAGTTCTCCGCTTTAATCGGGTATTGAACTCACACTCTTTGGGTCCTGTCACTGGATCTAACTAACGCCTTTATCCACTGTGCCATGTGTCCTTGAGTACATATAAATAAAGGGTTCATTTCGACATTCCAAACACCTGAAGAAGACATGAGCGTACATCAGCCGCAACGTTGTGATAAATAGGGCAACGGAGATGAGGACATTAGTCTGAATAATGTAAATAGTGTACATAATACATAATCTCAGAAATATAGACAGATACAAAAGAGTAGTTATTATCAATATTTATATCAAAATATTTTCTTTAATCATGTCACCTCAAAACAAAGCGACTAAGATAATTCTCATATTAATATGTGCACAATGTTAATTGCTGTAGTTTTGATATCAACGGGAACCGATGTGAGGAAACATTGCCTACATACAATGAATTCAAATGCAGTTCGCAACAATATACAATCATAATCATTTCCTAATTTTACATACTGGCACAATGTCTTACATAGACGTAAATATTTAAAGCATTTTAACCAAACGTTCTATTCATTTAAATCATTTCACTAATATTGCGTTGGTGCATAATTATCAGGCGTTTTTGTAGGCGAGTTATTTGTTAATAAAAATTGCTGTTTTGTATAACTTTTTTAATAAAAAATATTATTTTATTTTCAGGTTATAAAAATGCGTGTCGATAATCATACGCTCCGGAATAATCCTTTAAAAATGTTATTGTTGAATAGTTATGTTTCTTTTTTCATAATAAATATTGTTTAAGAAACGCCTGATGATTATGCACCAACCCAATATTTAGACAACAAATTATTTTCTGTACATTTCCACCGTTGATCCAATATTCACCCGAGATATAGAGACATGGTGTATTTGGGATGTCATAAGACATGGCATCCCAAATACACCATGAGTCTATATCGCTAAAAAGCAAAGAAAGCTTTTCTTTAAAGTTATTTTTAATTTATTTTTCTATGTTTCGGACTATTATCCTGGGTTTCAGTCCATATTTCAATGTAAATTTCTTAGTATTTTCGAATTTTATTAACCATTGTCAGTCATATCATGAGTCAAAGTATAGCACAAAAAAAAACCTGTTTGATAATGGCATATGAAAACCGTAAATATATCTTTCTCCACCATAAATATAGCAAAATTTGAATATTGTAATATTTTTAACTATTATATATGATTTTAGATGATATAATATTAATAACAGTAAGACTTTCAGGTATATATATATATGTATGGATATATATATCAGATTATTTTCATTTACAAAATAAACTAAATTTAATATACAACTATATTTAGATGTATTTATTTTTCTAGTATTACGACATTCTTTGTTGGTTTTACGCAAGATATTAAAATGTTTGTCTGATCTACACGCCTGGATTTGAACAGATATATATTGTGACATATATTTTGTGTTACAAATTAAGTGATAGATAAATAGATAGGTGTAACATTAAATGAAAATATTTTACATACGGATTTCTCCACGGGGTTTCGCAGGCATGAAATACACTCGAGAGGGATCTAGGTAATAAAAGTTTACTGAGGAGTAATGGATAATGGATAGCGTCTCAGTTTGAGGAATCGGAGAGCCGAGTTCGAATTCCAGTTGAATCCATTTAATTCACTTACATGCTAATACCCTTGGGAAAGATATGAATCTTCGTTTTCACCCCCAGCTATGGATAAATAGCAGGGCAGACCGAGTTCTCTAGCCTTGAATGGTAACGTCTACCGCAGGAAGAATTGACAACCTACTGGCTCGTCATCCGTGTATCGAAAGATACATGATCGCCTAAGCGTGTATCACGCATGTCACATAACTGACTGATATAGGCAGAACTACGTATAGACAGATAAGAAGAACTTTTTTTATTTGTCGCGCTTAATGTCCTATTTCTTAATAGTGAATATTGTAATTGACAGAAACGTCTTGACTTAACGACATATATTTCGTGTTACAAAACAAGCAATGCTGTCTTAGATAGATAGATAGATAGATAGATAGATAGATAGATAGATTTAGAATCATTCTCTTTCATGAAGAGAATGTTGCACCAAATGACAGATTGACTTTAATGGCTGAAGCAATTTCTACGGATGTCGTCTAAAAGGCTTCCTTACAAGATTCCTATGAGACGTCGAAAGACATCTTGAAGGAAATCATGATGACCACCACACATGATTTAGAGGAAATGTTACAAAATATGTCGCCCACTTACCGTTGAGGCCTGCGATTCTTTATATAGTAAGTCTGCTAAAGAAAAGAAACCAAGGAAGTTGGCTGACAGCTTTCAAAGCTTTCTGCCGCAAATTGGGCCCACTGGAATGAGTGCATCAGGAACTTTCTGACAATTGAACAGTTCGTAGTAACGACCAATAATAGTTAATGTGACAAGTGCGTGTATGCCTATATATATATATATATATATATATATATATATATATATATATATAAATATATATATATACAATAAGAGAACTGTAGTTATTGCTGACGCGTTTCGTCCAATGTGGATTTCTTAAAGCAAAAAAACGAAATGAATTTAATTAAAGAAAGTAACTAATAACAAAAAAAAAAAACCCAGAATGTTCTTAGCAACTGGGTGTATGTAGAGAACGCTATTTTCATTGGACGAAACGCGTCAGCAATAACTACAGTTTTCCTATTGTCATTTATATTTATAAATAATGTCTTTTCTGCAGGTTAACTCTGAGAATTTTCATATATATATATATATATATATATATATATATATATATATATAGATAGATAGATAGATAGATAGATAGATAGATAGATAGATAATAGTGGTAAATATATACATATATATGCAATCATATATCTAAAATATATAAACATACATAGATACATACACATACATATATATATATATGTATAAAATAATTCAAGACGATAGAATCCAGGTTGAACTCAATGTCCAGGACAAAGTAAGGATATAATAAAAACGGCTTAAACAGGGTCATAATTTATTCCATTGGAATCGTAAATACGACCCAATTCATCAGACCTACAAATTCTGAAAACAGAAAAAAAACAACTATATGTATACACACACACACACACACACACACACACACACACACATATATATATATATATATATATATATATATATATATATATATATATATAAATATAAATATAAATATATATATGTGTGTGTGGTGCAGTTTAATTTATATTACAATGAATCATTCATACAAAACGTAAATTAGTAAAGATAATGAGACAAAATGGCGAATTCACTTCGCTAACTAAATTTAAAAATTGCATTAACCCACTAACTACTATTTTCTTTTTGGTAAAATTCAGGTAGCATCCGAGACGAAAAAAAAATAATGCAAATATGTTTTTTTGAAGTGTGTTATTGATAACAGATACAAACTTGTGGGGCAACGCTAAGGTTCACTACTTTACATGTCTGATGATGACCGTTGAACCTGTCGAAAGTACTTTTATATTTAAGGAAGCTCTAATACAGTTTATAATTTTAAAAAGACAAGGATAATAACATTCATCGAGTAGTTAATGGGTTAAAGCATTTTTATAATTTAGTTAGCGAATTGAATTCGCCATTTTATATCATTGACTTTATTAATTTACTTTTATAAAGGATTCATTAATATATATATATATATATATATATATATATATATATATATATATATAGAGAGAGAGAGAGAGAGATAGATAGAGAGAGTTAAAGACAGAGACATAGTCAGACGGATAGTTAGATATATATGACATATGCATAGAAAGAAGTACGCCAGGCTAAATGTCGGTGTCGTACATAGAACTATCTTTGAGCCATCTAGTTATGTTTGTACGACTGCGTTAATCACTGTCAAACCGGTAAATAAGAGATCTGCCTCGTTGTTCGTATTGACGTCTGCGTGTCCACCTAGATTAAAATCGCAACTATCGACGCTGTTAAAAATAATGCATTTTAAGATCATGATAAGAAATGAAGATGACTACGAGGATAAATAAATAAATTAGAACGTTGGTCTTTTTACGCATGCTATCTGATGATCTAATCGAAAATAAATACCGCTAAAATCATGAGTTTATTTTTGGTAATCAGTGCAGAAGATGTCTCGTTTGCCGATATCAAGATAGTCGCAGTATAAAATAAATTGTGTTTTTTTTTTTGGTTTTTTTTTTTGGTTTTTGTTGGGTGGGTTTCCGGGAAAACTGCAAATGATCAACCAGCAGTGAACAGAAATGTAGATGTAATTAAAATAATGTCATCAAAATGACGTAAATCTCGGATAAAACATCTTCTCTTGGAATCTTTGAATCTCTCTCTTTATTTGGCAAATATGAATTGCAAACTTAAACAAGAAAAGACGACGTCAGGGAAGCAGTAGAAAGATCCATGAAATGACGAAATGAAAACAAATCAAGAAAAGCGAGTGTAAAATTTCAAGGAACACACGGCGAAAAATGAAAAAATTCGAACAGAAAATACATACATACATATATATATATATATATATATATATATATATTGTTAACTCTTACGCCCCTTATCAAAATGGTCGCTCCAGCCGTTTCCATAGTAATTAATTTTAAGAATGAACATGCTTATAAACATGCGTAAATCTCAAGATTGTTTATTCCTAAATGTTCGGTTGAGGATGAAACAGGGCTTGATACTTTAATTCAATTTAATTTTAATAATTATATTAAGTTTTTGGGCTCTTGTTCTGAAACATGAGAACTCTTATGTAGCGGAGGAATCATATTTTTAAAAAATAAGTATAATTTAAGCTCTGCTTCTGTATGGAGCACTATTTTTTAAAAATAAAAGCAAAAACACTAAAGAACTCCGGATTATTTACCTAACGTGTTCTTTCCTATTTTTCTATATATTTGCACACACACACACACACACACACACATATATATATATGTGTGTGTGTGTGTGTGCGTGTGTATGTGATGAACTTGGCAGAAAAAAAATGAAAAAGAACACTTAGTCAGTAAAAAAAAGAATGGAATCAATTATGAAACTTACACTTTATGAAACTTTTGCAATGAATGCCAAAATCTTCTGCTGCAGCAATCAAGGTATAATAAAAATTCTAATAAGTAAAATCGTGTCTCATTTTTTAAATGTAAACAAATGACGTCACACATTATGAAATGGACAAAGTCCGACAAATATTTTAAGACATTTTTATGTTTTCCCCGACTTCGAAGTTTCTTGGTAAAAGTCTGTAATTTAGAGAATGTTCATTTTAAATGATATTTCCAATGTTTACAATTTGTTCTTTTTTAATCCGTTTTACATTCCATTTTGTAAACATGCACTTTTACACGCGCACGTTCATGAATTTTTTTTTGTTTTTGTTTACGTCTTCATTTTTTCAGCTGTAGATTTTTCTTCCAGTTTTAATTTTTTCTTCGAAATAAATTTTTTTATGGTTTATATAGATAATATTACTAAATTGTAATATTTGTTAATTTGTATTATTAACCAAATTACAATATTTTTATGTTGAATTATTATGTTATATTGTTATTAAAGTAGCAAAGTGTATATTTAAGACCATAACATCCTGAAGAAAGGACATTTAACAAGAATCTTCGAAGTCGGGGAAAACAACACAAAATTGATATTTAAAAATAGTTAAGTAAACTTTTTTATATAATAAAATTATCAAATCTTACATATATACAAACGCACACACACCTACACACACATATATATATATATATATATATATATATATATATATATATATATATATATATATATAGTCATCCATCCCAAATGAAGATGACGTTTTTATGTTAAGGAACATTGTGTGTGTTAGCGGATTTTAAATATGTGAGTGGTTACACAGAACAAGAACCACGTTCTTACCATTCCATATATCGGACCGTCGTGAAATGAGTTCCCAGATGTCTAACTGTTGAAACTTGACTAATGCATGGAATAATAATGCAACACAAAATGTACTTAGAACAAAATGTATTGAAACAAGAAAGTGTACACAATATTTACATATAGTCTTTTGTATATTCCTAGTAAGACCGTTCCTGGAGTTGACTGAGTCGCAGTTGGGCAGAGTCTTTGGTTGAATCTCTTGATTCCTCCCTCTCTTCCCGGTACCAACCATATTTATATGGTCGGTACTCCACTATGCAAATTAGGTGGATCCTACCACAACACTAACAGAGGGGATTAGTGAATGGCTACACCAAGATTCAATACAAGGAATGTCCTTCTTGAGCTTCATGTTACCAGTTTCTTAATTCATTGTTTACCTTCTACTTGACTGGTTACTATTCAGTGCTATAGAATCCAGTCTTCCCTACTATTTATGATCGTAAGTATATAACGTGTAATTTGGCAGTACAGTTCAGTAGAATATACGAGCCTGTTAACTCTCAATACTTCATCACTTTAAAGCCTGCTACCCCGACCCAGGATAATCTACGAATTCACTTGATCATGATATTATTGTATTACCTATTACGCGCAATTATTTCGGTCATCGGACAAACAGTCACAACTGTGTATCTGTCACCTACTCTATCGCTATTTGCATAGCAAGGGTAGTATTTGCCCACATCGATCATTATACATGGAAGTAAGATTTCCAATAACATTAGTCAAATAGTTGAAAACAACACATGTATAATAATAATAATTAAATCAATGAGTCGTTTCCCTTCAGGCTGTTGGTAATCATGGCTCTCTACGAATCCCTGTCGTTTGTAGTACTAGACAAGGTTTGTCTTATTTTCCTACACGGTTCTCTCATTTATTTTCCCCTCTCGCATTAACATGTGATTATCAAATTCTCTAAACTATCTTCACCATTATATTCGAAATTTCAAGTGTCTCTTTCCGATCTACAGCCAAAAGCCTCCTTTAACAAATATCGAACAATAAAATCAAATAGGTGAAAATTAATAACATCTGCTTCAAGGGTAGAAATTCGTTTTAAATATATTCAACAATGAACGAGACATTTAACCAAATCCAGAATCTCGATTGCCCCG